AATGAAAACCCCACCTTGTAGACGCCCTTGCGGCCTGCGCACCCGCTTTCCCACCTGAGCAAATACAACCCTGACAGTCACTTCTGTCTGTCCCTCCCCAGCATCGGTCATGCTTCTCGGAAGTCCTCAGCCCTCAGCTCCGCGCAGCAGGGGGACCTCGTGGGCACGTCAGGACGCCCTGCAGGTGAAACCCCACCTTTCTCAAGGTCACCAGATCCGGAAACAAGGCCGTGGAGGAGACGGAACCATCGATGGGGAGAGAGTGGTCCAAGTGGGGAGGGTGTGCCCGCCAGCCTCCCCATGTTCACACATCAACCGCCTGACTGGTGTTTCCGGAAGGTTCTGAAATGAAGTCTCTGCCAAAGCCCTGTGGTAACCAGCAGGCTCCCAGGGTCTCCATCCACAGAAGCGCCTCCTCATCCTGGAAACACCCCTGCATCAGCCCCGTGGAATTACCAGCCTTCCGAAAGCCTGCGGGTCGTCTGAGGTGATGGAGACACAGCCCGATGCCACCCCCAGCCGGCAGCGCCCCCCCGAAACGCAGGCCAGTCCCCCAGACATCAGGAGCCCTTCTGCTCATTTGAGTGAGCCACCCTTCTGTTTTCTGTATAAGGGTCTAAAAACTTAATTACAAAAATAAATTTTAAAGCAGACAGCATGGAAGCGACCCCACGGGAGCCACTGTGAAGTGTGGACTCGGAAGCCTAACTCTCAGCTGTTGGGCGGCAAGAAAACGGACGCGCTGGATTCATCAGAATTGAAGCCTTTCAGCATCAAAGGACACTTTCACGGGAGTAAAAGTGAGCACGGCCTGCAGACGGGAGAATCAGCCATGTGTCGTGTTTCTGGTGAGAGGCTGGCACCCAGCAGATATGGAGACAGGGTTCTTTCAGCTCAGCCTCAGAAAGACACGCAGCTCTCTTAAACGATGGGAAAGGACTTGAGCTGCCATTTCCTGGAGAAGGCGTGTGAGTGGCCAACAGGCACAGAAGAGATGCTGGGCGCCACCAGGCACCAGGGAAACTCCCATGAGAGCCAGAGATGCCGCCTCACACCTATGAGGGTAACTGACTTTACAAAATGGAAAATACCAGGTGGGCAAGGATGGGGGGGAATCAGGTCTCCTGCGCTGATGGGAAGCCAGGCCGGTGGCCCCGGGGATGTGCCCAGGACCGCTGAGCACAAGCTTGTGCACCAGGGCTCGCAGCAGCTGAAAGGTGGAACCAGCCATGTGTTTGTGGACAGGCGATGACCACAACCCGGTGGGTCCACACCACAGGATACTACTTGGCCTGAGAAAGAGTGAAGTGCTGACAGATGTCCCACATGGATGGACCCTGGACACACGCACTCAGGGAAGGAGGCCAGACACAGTCCACTTCTGTGTGGTGCCGGGACACACATCCACACAGACAGAGGGAGATTCAGGGTGGAGGTGAGTATGGGGACTCGTCTTTACTGGGAACAGGGTTTCTGTGGGGCATCATGGGAAGGGCTGGGGACAGGTGGAGGGGATGGCCGTGCACACTCTTCATTCTGTTGTATAGAAGCTGAGTGATGTGAGCTTCACTTTAAGTGGCCCGAGCCTCAGTTTCCCCATGTGTACAGCTGTGATGACATCCTCCCTCCCTCAAAGTCTCTCGTCTCCTTGAAGAGATCAAGGGGTGCCTGGCTGGCCCAGTCGGGGGAACATGTGACTTTGATCTTGTGGTTGTGAGTTTAAGCCCCACATTGGGTGTAGAGATTACTTTACAAAAAAGGACGTGTACATCAGCAAGGCTTCCAGAAAGAGCTAACTGCAGACAGCTAACTGTCTGAGCTGAACAGACAGACAGAGGCTAGTGCAGGTGACGACCCACAGACGTCAGGCTTCCCAAGGCCAGGAGCCCACGTCCTGTGTTGCTGCAGCCATCACAGAACTGCAATCACGTAACATCTCTGAGCAAAGGGCTGTCACCCTGGCACAGCCGCAGGCAGGAAGAGGGAGGCTAACGGGGCAGAAGTACTCAGGAAACAGTGCTCTGTGACGCAGACCCGCTGCCATGGCTTGGGCGCACGAGATGGGTGGCACCGCATGTCATGCAGTCACCTCTGTCCCTCATCCCGAATGTCTGTCCCGATGGTAAGGGACATCTGTGTCCCAGCAAGAGGGCCGTGGATGCAGCGGACGCTGGACCCAGGTCTTCCGAACGGAGTCCAGGGAGGCTACGGGATGGGGAGCTGAGGTCACAGTCAGGCCGAGGCCCAGGACAAGAAGCCAGGTGGCTTCCTGGGGACCAGGCTGGGTCGTGTCAGTCTGAAATCTGGAACCAGGTGGGACCGTGGCTGGTGCACCCCGAGTGCCCCATGCAGGGGAGCGAGCGTTTTGCAGGATGCGGCGGGGGGCTCGGAGACTGTGGGCCAGCTGGCTGTGCTCCACGGGCAGGCTCCGGAGCCTTCCTCCCAGAAGTGGGAGCGCGGTAACGTCCCGGGGGAAGGACGGCAGGTGACCTGGACAGATGTGCTCCTCCCTGAGCTGCCGTGGCCACAAGCTGGGGCGCTGAGAGCATCTGACACCTGTGTCTGGGGTCCCCGTTACTCGACCCCAGACCTACCGACGTCACGCAGCCTCCCCCGGCCGGGCTCCCCGGTGCAGGGCGCAGCGGCGCGTGACAGCCATCTCTGCCCCGGCGGCAGTGCCTCCACAGCGGGGCGCCTGAGGGATGCGGCGCCGGCTCCGCGCACCGCTCAGATCGGTTCCACTGCATTTCCTGTGAGTGTGAGCACTGGCTCTGGGCACGTGGACACCATGGGCTCAGAACCCAGACAAGGACGTCAACCCAGGGCCCTGCGGGCAACAGGTCAAAAGCAGCTACTTCCTTTCTGGGATGAGTCACTCAGCAGCGGATGGGGTGGGGGGAGGGGTGGGGGGGAGAGAGAGGGGTGGAGGAGACAGAGGAAGGAGTCAGGCTCTGCTGTCATCGAGCATCCCAGTCCCTGAGAACAGGCTATGGAAGACACGTACACAGACGTTCTGGAAGGGGCTGTGGGCATGTGTACCCCAGCTCGGCTCAGGCTCCTCCCGCTCACTCTGGCACGTGGAACCCCCCGTGGCCTGTCCACGTGTCTCCCTGTGGTGGCGCTGCCTCGCCCGTGCCTCCCTCCCTCCGTTGTCCACTCTCCGCTCCACCGGGTCGGCTGTATGGACGACAAATGCCACGGCACCACCGCTCTTGGCCACAGAAGCTCAGCAGCCACGCTGGTTTCAGAAACACAACCCCAGTTACTCGCCCTCAGACGATTCAAGTACACCTGCGTCCACACCCAGGCTCCTCGTCCTTCTTTCTGGGGCATTTTGGCCGACGCCCTGAGGCCAGGGAGCAGGTGTCCCTGGGTCCCAGACAGTCACCACAGGCCTCCTTCCTTGCACCGGCCCGTCCTCCCGCCACACACATCAGGATGTCTCAAAACACTTCCCCCACAGTCACGTGCCATGTCTCACACTGTGTGGTTCAGATTTCCTGGCTTCCTCCCGTCACTAACACAGACAACCAAAAGGTCACTGAACATTAAAACATGAAAACAGATGCCTTTTGATCTATCAAGAGCTGGGTCGCCTGTCAAAAGGACACTGCGACGTCACATATGCCGTTGGACGTTTCTGAAGCACGTGCCTGGGTCAGCAGGTCCTCTGGCGGAAGCCGCCAGAACACCTGCCGCATGAAGCCCCCCAGACCCACTGCAGACCGGCTTCCCGAGGCATCGCCCGCACCCCCACAGATGTGCGGGGTTCAGAGGTTTGCAGGATTTAAGCGGGACGAGGCGGTCACCCCTCCCTGCCACCACTCGACCAGGAGTGCCAACGTGGCCCCTGGGCAACATGTTAACGGAGACAAAATGCCAAACGCAAAAGTGAAATTATCTCGTCTCCCCCTCTCTCAGGGTCCCTTCTCTGCTGGTGGCTGGAGGCCCCCTGGCTCCGTCTGCCCTCCATCACAGCCGCCTCCTGTGTCCGTCCATCCTCGGTCAGCTGCTCCGTCACACACCTCGTGACCTAAGCACCTTGACAGTGTTTACATTCAGGCTGTGATTTTATTGCTTCCCTGGAGATAAGAATGTCAACAGGTTCTGACAATTTCAGTTGTACTTGAAAAGGAGACACAGAACATTATTTCATCAAACTCAATAAGAGACGTTAGAAACTGACTTTTGGATTTAGGCGGGTCCCAGTGGTGCGTCCTCTAACTAATGTCATCAGAAAACAAGGCAAAGTGCTGGGTCTGTTCCAAACCACATGTGCTCAGGGGTCCCCCGGTTTTGTTTTCTTTTCTTTTCCTGTAGCGCATGGGACAGACGCTTTGGTTTGTCTTTAGTTCCATTAAAACTGGGTGTTGACAACATGGATGTACATAAAAAACACGGAAAAATCCATCCTTTGTGGGCAGTAAATGACAGCATGGTGCGATGGGTCTGGAAGGTGTGCCCAAGCGCCTCTTAATTGACCGCAGTCTGGACTCAGTGTCATGGACAAGTCACCGTCTGAATCACGCATGATGCCGTCTGTAAAGCTCTTCCTTCCAATTTGGTCACTCATGTTTGTTTGTTTGCTTATTGTTATTTGAGAGACAGAGAGCACGAGCAGGGGAGAGGGGCGGAGGGAGAGAGAGAATCTTCAGCAGGCTCCATGCTCAATGCACAGCTTGACTCTGGGCTCGATCCCACATGATCTGCTGGGATCATGACCCCGGCAGAAATCAGGAGTCAGGCGCCCCTCGTGTATTTTTAAATACTGATTCCCTGCTGACATTGATAAGGAACTTGCGATTTTTAGGAGAATGAGTTACATGTTTTTGGGATCACAACCTCAAGACCACGGGCTGCACTGCCGACCGTCGGGCTTTTGAGGCGGGGGGCACACGGGACTGATGTGTTCCACACGTGGGTGGAACGGAAACTCAGCCTCTGACCTTGGAGTTCCACGTGGCACGTGGCTGGGCGGCAGCGCAGACCAGGTTCCCTACCTTCACCTCTATTTGTTTGGTGTCCAGATGCTGGAACAATAGCTTCACACGAGCGTTGCCATCATCTGAAGACCCCTTCAGCTGAGAAAACCTAAATCTCCAGAGCACATTCTGAAAAGGAATAAAATTAATAATGGACTTAATTCATATAATTCACATATAAATCATAGAAATAGTCATTTATTTAATTCATATCTAGGCATACATTAAATACTGTTTAAATAAGTACAGATATTTGCTTAATTTTCTTATCAGCCCTGAGCATGTGATAACTTATCAGAATCTGCCTTCCCATCCTTCAGCCTGTGCACACGGACCCCGCCTCTGCCTGCACCCCGGCTGCCGGCATCCTATGACCACTGCTGCTTTCTCTGCCTGTAAGACTTAAAAATCCTTCTGGAGGCCACTTCCTGCCTCAGAGCATGAAACATGAGCACAGATGGTGAAAGCTTCAATCCCACGGATGCATCCCCACCTGGGGCCACGTGCAAATCACTCCGTTCGTTTCTCCTGAACCAACAAGAAAAAGGCAGATGGTCACCTCTTAATACTGTTTGCTCAGGTAGTTCAGACATGAAAGGTGCTTTGTAAGTTCTTGTTTAATAGAAAAAAAGTCTGCAGAAAATAAAGACCTAGCGGCTGATGGTCTTTCATTATAGACACTTCCTGAGAATACACCTCTTCTCCCGGGAGAGCCCAGCACCGAGGGGCAGGCTTATTCTGAAATAATGAAACATTTTCTCTAAGTGTCATGAAAGACAAAGGGGCAGGGACGGTGGGGGAGGGTTTAAAAGGCACTCCTTCCCCCCTGACTCCTGGCCCTGCGACCCACACTGATCTCCGGCTCATGTGATTCTTTTGTGTTCAACTGAGTCTCTGCGTTTCCGGGCAATGTGTCCAAACAGGCTCCTCAGGGTGCTGGGGAGTTTGGGACCACATGGGGTGTCAGGGGACAGCACCCCGGATCTTGTTTCATGATGGGGAAGCCTGGTCTACACCCAACGCAGGTGGGGCTGGGTGCCCGGACTCTAGGCCGGAGGGCCTTTGCTTATTGGAATTACTAGGTTCTGCCCAGAAAGAGGGGTTCAGAAATCACACCGCGCTCACTGCTTCCTTGGGAGTAGCCTACAGAACAGCCCCTGGCCCATTGAAGCAAACTGGTGGGAAACACCACAGCACAGTTAACCCGGAAAGTCTACTGACCAAGTTGAGCAGGACGCTGGGAAAGCTCTTCCGGATCCCAGGGTCCTGCGCTAGCCTGGCGTTCCAGCCCCTAGGCTTCAGGCAGAAGGCCCACATACATCTTGTTCTGCTTTTGAAATGATCCATCGCTAGCTTTCACGCAGGAGCATGCAATCCTACACATGCGTCCGTTTTGCCAGACTCCTCACAACATAGGTAAGGTCCAAACTGCCCTAGGAAGAACAGTAAAACCATATTTGGTTCAAATTGATTCTGAAGAAGAGCTCGATAGTGGCCTACCCTCATCAGGACAAAATTCTGGGAATAACCTAAGCTGTTAAATTTTACATAGAATCATACACAGCTACTGAAACACTAGAGATGAAAAAGTGCAAAGTAGTCTGTGTGGAAGCCGTCCAGATTGGCTACAGAATTCAAAACGACCCTCACACTGAGGTCCTTTGGGAATATTCTCAGCACACTGTTTTTACACGGAACCGGTCCTAAACACGTGCTGGGTTAAGAAAAACGCTGCCTTCGGAGAATACACCCTGCAGATTCTCTCAGGCAGCCAAGCTGTGGGGGAGGGATGAGGGCACTTTCCTCAGGTGATCAGGAGGCGGGTGTATGGGGAGCCCAGGGATGCGGGGACCGGGCGCTGGGGGTCAGGGGCTGTGGCGGGAGGCCGTCCTCACGTCTGGTGCCAGCGCCGGGAAGGGTCTGGATGCGAAAGGGTCTGTCCACCGGCCGTACGAGGCTGGAGGGAACCCTGAGTTTCAGGTCTCAATCTTGGGAGACAGAGCACGTTCCCCTGTGGTAATTAAAGAACATTCTACAATCGAATCGTGGCATCAGAAACACGCTGGGGTTCCTGGCTCACCTCCACGATCCCAGGTTGGTGGTGACCACCTTTGACTGTGCCGGCCGTGCAGGATGAATCTGCTTCAGTAACTGCTGACGACAGAGAGCAGTGGCCCACTGGCCATAGATGCCGTGTCAGAGACCGTCACAGAAGGCGGTGCCCATGACACCGTGCTGCACGGCTGCGTGGCGCTGTTCTCCCTGTCAGACCAGACCCTCCCCGACATTTCCTCTCCTGCAAGAAAGCACTTCCTTCTCAGGGTTCTCAAAGCTAAGCTCTGTTCTTCCCCATCAGTCTAGCCCAGCCTCACGGGATCATCGGCTCCCAGCCCAACGGGGGTCAGGCCTGGGGAACTTTCGTGAGGACTCCCATGCGTCACCCTCAACAGAGACGCATTATCTTTCTGCTTTATTCAGGGAACGTCCAGTTACTAAGAAGAGAATCTGGAATTCAAGCTCATGTTTACAGACCAGGCTAGCTTTCCAATATGCCCCAGGCAGTAAGTACATCCGGGCAAAGTTCTCTTTGGTCCTACGCCTCAAAGGACCCTGGACGTTGGGCTGAGGGCTGTGTGGGGTCCAGATGCAGGGAGGACGCATGGAGGAGGGCTTGTGTCTGCTTTCTCGCTTCCCAGCTGCTGAGTGCCCACACTTCGTTTTCTGCTTCTCACTGACGTCCCTCCGGCTTCTCTTCAGTGCACCAGACACGGGCCGGCAGTTCCCGCCAAACCAGAGACCCAGCGCGAACACGGCCACGCACGGCCCCGCAGCTCTCTGAGGGAGCCAGGCGGGTGCAGGGACCTGTGTCATCCGCACAGGAACGTACTTCTGAGCCAGCACGATGGCGGGTGGGGGGTGGGGGGGTGGAATTCTGGTTTATTCTGGCTTAAATGGCTTGAAAATACTTTGTCTAGAAATTTAAAGATATTAGACAACAGGGTGCCCATTTATGTTGTAAGAGTAGAAAAAAACTATGCCGGCCACGTGTGTTTGTTTCCCATATGATTTCTGGTCTCCCCGTGTTACCACGGTGGAAGGGGGCAGTGGACGTGAGCAGGTGAAGCGTGGACACAATTGTTCATCTTTCCTCAGGTAGCCTGTACGCAGTGAGTCAAGATGTTTGACAGCACATCTACTTCTGAGGCTTCTGTCCATGTGGGCGCCTGGCACGCGGGCTGTGGCCACTACCAAGACCTAGTCTTTAGTCTTTCGAGCATTTTGTGAGCAATATTGCTGCCATGTTGTGGGTGTAGCTCTGACCCAGGAGTAACACCGGATGGTCGGATCTAAGGCACATTATGTTACCCAAGTGCTAATCTTGTGAATACAGGCAGGGTCAGTCCCGATCCAAGTGCTTCTAAGGACAAAACATCTTTGTTTTATCCATAACTTATATAAAAGGGCAGGTGGAAAAACATCATTTTCATAATTATTCATAATTATTTCATATCAATGTAGAAAGAGGAAGAAGAGCTACAAATATTTTATAGATTTACAACCAACCCGTACCCTCTTCACAGTTAAGCTATGAAAGCTTTTCTTTTGAAAAGTAATTCAAACATTGTGAATTAAAAAGCTTTTAAAAGACACACATGAAACAAGCCCCCGGCAATTAGGCCAAAACTTCTTTTTTTTTTTTTTAATGTTTTATTTATTTCTAGGAGAGAGAGAGAGACAGTGTGAGCAGGGGAGGGTCAGAGAGAGAGGGAGACACAGAATCCGAAGCAGCTCCAGGCTCTGAGCTGGCAGTCAGCACAGAGCCCGACGCAGGGCTCGAACCCATGAACCGCGAGATCATGACCTAAGCGAAAGTCGGACGCTTAACCGACTAAGCCACCCAGGTGCCCCCCAAAACTTCTTAAAATCAAGAAGTGACAACCAGGAAAATGGGAAGCCAAGAGTTCACCTTCAGAGAGAAGTAGGTTGGGAGAAGGTCCTGCTGTCAGATCCGAGGTTCAGATGCCTGAAAAGATGACTTAACTAGAACTTTATAAAATCTTGGTTTGAAGACACAGACAGGAAGGAGGGAAGGTTTTCCCAGAAAGGCAGGGCCGCCTGCCCAGGGCAGCTCTTGTAGTGGTGAAGATGGGGCTCTCCAGGCCCTGCCCCCTCCTCCCTGCACAGGGAGCTGGTGTCTGGGCTCCAGAGGGCAGGGCGGCTGAGGGACATCCCGCTGTGTTCAGCAAGGGGCGAAGGGTCAGGGATAAACACGCGGTAATTATGAGAGTGCACTTTAGTTACTTGGCTCGTTGCTGGGACATTTAATACACCACAGCCCAGCTCTGCGGCGTGTAAGGAGCGCATTCTAGCGATCTAAGCTTTTATCTGGTTATTTAAGGGCCAGCCAAGGAGACGTTGGATGCGCAGGTAGGATGTGCCTCCCAAGGGGCTGAGTGCCCCCTGGAGGATGGCCTGACTGCCTGCCAGGCCAGTGGAAAGTGCATCGGACATGAGTGCCCCCCAGGGGATGGCCTGACCGCCTGGAAAGCGCCGGGGAAAAGGAGGGTGTGGTGGAAAGGGAGTAACGCCCCTGAGAGTCGTGACTTGACTCAGAGCAGTGGAGGAAGAAATGAAGTTCACAGGATAAATAAAGGCAAGAGCGTGTTGCTGGGGTAAGCACATGGGCACCCCACCCGCCAGCCTCACCCCTGTCTCCTCACCAGAGAAGCCACACATCGGCCCATCACAGGGCACTGTAGGGCACGGGTGTGAGAGGTTACATCTCCCCATTTGCTCTGAGTTGGATCTTCCCCTGGCGTCTCCGGGGAACAGGGTTCCTTCTGTTCATTTCACAGCGAGGGGCTCCATGTCCCATGCAGGGAGGGCACCCCTTACAGGGCCTCACAGTCACAGCATCTCCTGCCCTTGTGAAGGTGAAGCGGACACACGGCTCCCAGAGCAGGGACACCCAGGGGTGAGGGTCCCGCCAGGGCCCTGGAGGAAGACATGGGGACGGCTGTCAATTCAAGGCACCTGGCGCCGTGCAAACCTTCACCCTGACAACCAGGCCTGCTGGGAGTGAATACACCGCCCCAGACAGGCAGCTGCAGGCAGACGGCCTGGGCGGAATGGGGCTCCTTGGGCAGATGGACGAAATGACGTACGGCGAGCTCACGACTCCTTCCAGGGAGACCTTGTCCCCTCAGATGACACTCATGTGCAGCCAGATGGGGGTACGTGGGGCCTCTTGCAGGGCAGCCGGAGGACTCAAAACTGCTCTTCAGGTGAGATCTGCAAAGTCTCAGCTTAGATTTCCTGGAGCCCAGGATTTTGTGGAGCCCGAAGCTAGAAATGCAAGTTCATGGTGGAGCTGAGGGCTCCCTGCTGCAGGCCCACGGCTAACTCGCTCACCCCAAGGACGCGTGCACATAGGTTACGCAGACCTGGCTGAAGGCCGAGCCGCAGCAGCAGCTTCACGAAGTCTGTCCACAGAGATCTGTGCACGGTCAGGGAGCCCATGCCATCGCTGTGGCCTTGCTGTTGGGCTTGGCACAGTGAATCCTTCTTGGTATTTGTTGTTCGTGTAAATGGGGCCTGCTGCCATTCTAAGCACTAGGTAGGCCTCTGCTGTCAGAGCCCCCAGCCATCCTCCGTTCTCCAGGCAGGGAGCTGACAGCGAGGTTCTGGTGGAGACCTCTGTACAGGAGGCAGCCTCCCACTTGGATCCCAGCCCCCGGCTCTGCGCCCCTGACTGATGTCAGCCATCCTGGGCGCCGTAAGGCATTTACGGCATCTCTGATCTCTGCCTGCTAGAAGCCAGCAGGAAGTCCCCTCCAAGTAGTGACAATAAGAGACATTTCCAGAAGTCCCCAGAGACAAGCCCACCACTGTGGGAGCCGCTGTCTAGATGAATGGGGAGGATACGGGCCAGACCGGTGAAGAGCAAGGGGTTCCTGAGTGGGCTGTGGGGATTCATTCGCAGACAAGAGCACCCAAAGGATTCAGAACGCAGGTCTGGAAACACACTCTCATGAGAATGTTTTGGAGACGAAGCATCCCCGGCTAAGGGCCGACCTGCTGCAGGCCACAGGCCAGGCGCAGACAGTGCTGGTCCAGCCGATGCTCTCCCAGCCCTGTGCTCTGAACGAGCAGCATGGACTTAAAGTACTGTAAGTGCCGTGTGATGAAATACTGGCTGCAGTGACGACTCAGATGCGCTGGCGGAAACAGCTGCTCAGAACGCGGGTTTATGTCCAGGACGAGGGAAACCAGCCACAGCTGTTGCCCTGGGGAGCCTGCACCGGGTGAGCCCACCAGGAATGGGGTGACGCTCACACCAGAACGGCCCCGTCTTACCCCAGGCAGCACTAATGTTCCTAGTGCGGGGGTCCTTCCCTGGGGCAGGACCCAGGAGACCTGGCCCATGATGGCCTGGGCGCTGCTTGTGGGCCCTGCGCAGTGGGCTAGCATCCCGCCGGACACACAACCCTGGACTGCTGCCCTGGCAGTAAGGACGGTGGCCCTGGCCCCTGGCGGCGCCTGCCAACACCTTACCTTCGTCTTGCTGTCGGAGCAGGTGAATCCCAATGCGAGATCCACTGTGAAACACAGCACGTCTCCGCGCCAGCTGCACATGTATGTTCTGGACTAGAAAAGAGCATCGATTCAGAGAAAACAGTTTTAACGTGGAGTTTAGCATCAATCAGGTAACTGCAATACTCCACCCCCGCCCTGCCACGATCAGAAACGACTCTTGTAAAAGCGCTAACGACTTGCACACAGGCAGTGCTTTCCTGCTCCGTCTGTGGGCAAATGTTTCTACACGTGTGGCTCCCGCGTCCCCCGGCGCTGGCGGGAGGGACAAACCATGTGAACACTCGTTCTCTGGGCCTGGAGCACACGGACACTCAGGGCCAGCTTCCTCTGGTGTGCATGTGTGCACACACGCGCATACGTGCACACACACATGCTGCTCGGGGCACACATCCCCACGCGTCCAACAGCACAGACCTGTGCTTTACACGTCTGCACGGAGCTCTTGGTGGGAGCAAGTGCGGGACAGGACGCTGACCTCTTGGGAGGCACTGGGGGGTCAACCCCCTGTGATCCCCCAGGTCATGGGGAAATGAAACCCTGGCTCCCGCAGGGGGAGGCGGTGATGGGGCCTCTCAGCCTTGCCCCCTCCTCCTCGGGCCCCGCCTCAGCACAAAGGTCAACCCCCTTCCGCCCCCGGGCCCTGGGCCACGTGCCGGCCCCTCGGTGGGCTCATTCCCACCATCTGAGCACCAGCTCACAGGTCCCCCTCTGTCCCGTGATCTCATGTCCAGCTCGGCGGCACTGAGACCTTTGTTACTGTCATCTCCGTGTCATCCTGTCCCTTAACCACACCCTCGTGTGGCTTCAGGCCCGTCTGCTGAGGCTTCTCTGAGTCTTCACTGGTTCCCAGGGCCAAACTCCACCACCTTTCACAGCATCCTGTCTCGCCCGCAGGGGCAGATCTGTCGTTTCTATGGTGGCATCTGCTCTCTTTCCACTCAGTTCCAGATCTTCCTGCTCGCTGGTAGGAGGACTGACTTCTACCTGCAGCCGGGACACCTCCGCATCAGGAGGCCCCTGACGGTATAACTCGCCGGACATTCTCCACTCACCCTCCGCGGGTGGGGCTGCCCCAGGGCCTGGCCCTGCAGGTGCCGGACGGGGGTGCCAGGTCCCGTGTGGTCCCTGCTCCTGCCCCATCCCTGGCGGCGGAGTGGCCCCTGACACCACCTCCAGGCAGGCGGAGGCCTTTCCTGAGGGTGGGGCGGGGCCGTGGGGACGTCTGTGCGTTTGGCTGGACTGGATCACTGACCACGTAGTTTCTATTCCACCAGCGGCCTGTCCTGGTCCTGGGCTGCGGGGAGTCGGCCCTGGTGGGTTTGGGGTCTGCACCTGCTGGTGTTTCTGGGTGGCCCGCTCTTTGGTGCCAAGTTTGGGGCACATGCAGGCAGGCCTTCAAGGCCGTGTGGTCCTCATCCCCGGAGCCCCCTCACCGGCCGCCTGCTTCTGCCCACCTTCCAAGGCGTCTGCGCAGTACTCACCAGGAGGACAGGGAGGTGTGTCCACTCCACCCCCCGATTCATTCATCTTCTAAAAGATTATTGCTGACTTACTGGCCAGCACACGATTCACTAATCTAATAACCTTAACATTTAGAGACTAAGTGGGCCACGACTGGGACCCCTGTCTACGTGTGCCCAGGCTCTGATGGCTTCTGTGCTGCTTATGTCTATTTGGGGCAGACAAATGCCAGAGCTGGGCAGAGCGTGGGCCGTGGCACCCCCTTCTCTCACCACTGTGGCCAGAGGCCGGCCCACGTGGGGTGGGGGCACAGTGGGCATCGCAGGCCCCGCGGGGAAAGCTGCTGCTTGCTCTCGTCCAGGCCACACCTGCCACGGCATCTGTCCCTCCCGCCTCCTGGGTCAGGCGTGCAAGGCCCTGTGTGTTCCCGCCGAGCCTGCCCGGGGCCACACACGGAGGGGACGAGCCCACACTGGCCGGGCGGAGGGTGTGCTGTGCTGCTTAGAAGACGATCTCTAGACGGTGACAGAGGCCGCGGGTCTGAGCTGCCCTGGACTTCTGACCCTCAGCCGTTCACGAGCGTGTCTGAAATCGCAGGGTCCGTGGGGAGGACACGATGGGGACCTCGGGCTCCCTTCCCTGTGAACACCACCGCCAGACACTCAGCGTGCCACAGCTGCCAAGAAATCAAGATACTAAAAACCAAAACAACTTCTCCTGGGACAGCAACTGAATGAGGCCATGCAAAAACACGGCTCCAGACAGAACAGTCAGGTTCATTTTCAAATTAAGAAATTCACACTCTGGTGCCACTGAGTAGATGCAGGTGCGAATATTCACCTTGTAAGTGTCTCAGAGGACGTGCAGCCAGGGTCTGAGGACAGAGCTGCCGGCAGGGCTGAGGCGGGGCTCTGGGACTCGGCACGGTGATAAGTGACGAGTGACAAGCTGATGCCTGACGATGGATGCGAGCTCACCAGGGGTCCCACTGCGGGCGGCTCTCACCGCGTGCACCGTGCACTTACCGTCATCATCCTGCTTTCCGTTAGCCCAGGAGAGGACAGGGCCCTCAGTGGGCAAGGGGACGGGCTCGCAGGATGAGCCCGGTGGGCAGGTGAGCGGGACACAGCTTGGGAGCCGCAGAGCCACAGGTGCTAGAACACAGTATGGCCCCACACGTACCCGCCACAAGCAGGCGCCACCTTCATGTCACAGCGATCAGCCACTTACTGACACCAAACTCTGGGACGTCTGCTCTCTCACTATCCCCACTGCACAGAATGGAGACGCTGAGGCACGTGCCCTTTGGAGGCTGTCCCAGGGTCCTGCGGCCAGCAGGCAGAGGGGCGGGGCCCAGGCTTGCAGTCCTGGAACAAGGCAGTAAGCATGGTGGGCGGCTGGTCACCAAGCTATAACCAAGAAGAAACCTGTCCTGGTCAGGGTGACCACGAGAGCCACGGCTGGGAGACGACATGTCATCCGTGCGGCCTGGGTGGCTGGGGCACGGCAGTCGTGGCCCCGGGGAGGGGACAGCAGGCTGTGCTGTGAGGGTGTTTGACCTGGATAGGAGCACACATGACCTCGCCCAAGGGAGAATCCTGGGAATTCGCTGATTTCATCTTTGCTGTTCGGTGGGAGCACGAGGCCTCAGCGAATTTGTGCCGAGTCCCCAGGTGCTGGCTGGTCCGGGGATGGATCTGGACGCTGGGCTTCCCCACGTTCAATGGGAATTCGCCTTCTTCCCAGTCCAGGATGCAGACTCCGCTTTCTTTCTGCTGTTGCTGTGACATTATTATTGTCCGAAAACAAGCATTCTGCTCCAAAGGGAAGTGTGTTCCATTAAAACATACGTTTTCATAATCTCTTACAAAAAGGTTAGAGAATATTTTAAGGTGTTTTACCAAAGTTTGTACAATTCAGGAAAAGGAGTAAAAACCAATTTTAAAAATAACATTTTCAAACAGCGCAGAGGTGAAGCGACACCAGGCCCAGCCAGTCCTTGTCCACAGACTCCCGGGGCCACCCACGCCACCTCCCCACTGGGCACCCCACAGCACGTGGGTCGCTGTTCTCCCGCTGAGAAGCTGGAGGCCACCTGGATGCTGCCTCTCCCCGACCACGCGTGTCCCCGCGTCCTTGCTTCCTGTCCACAGACCCTCGTCACCGTGTGTGGGCGCAGAACGGCCGCCCTCTCGGGACACAGAGTCTGCAGCTGGCCTAGCCGGCAACACTGCCCTGTGGCCTCCAGCACGTGGCCTGGGATGGTCTCCCCGCGGTGCCCGGACCACATCCAGGGAAGCCAGCAGAGGTTTACGGGAGGGGCTCACGGGAGGGGGTGCAGCAGGTGGGGTGCTTGCTCCATCTCTGCAGCCACCGCACACATGTAAGGACCAGCTCCACCCTGTACCTGTCCTCTGTGTGCACACACAAGTACACGGGGACATGCACACACATGTGCACACAGACCACACGTGGGGCAACTCTCCACACACAAGGGTAACACTAGCTACAATGTTTTCAACATATAACCAATATTTTAGCAAAATAATCTTCCTCAAACTCCTGGCTTCCTGAAACTACTAATTTTCTCTACAAGCTAGAGGCAGCCCTGTAGAGCGGACAGTGGCGGCCTGTCCTTGATGCCACACCTGACCACGGACCTGACCTCAAACCTGTCCACAAAGCCACACCCGAACCATGTATACAACCGTGCACCTGACCGTGCACACAGCTCTGTGCTCACCTGCACCTTGCAGGCCACGCGGGCACGGGCTGGCTGTGGCACAGCATAAACTCAGGTACCGACGGGGACAGTGACAGGGACAGACGCTGTGGTGAGCAGGGCCGTGGCCCCGGCACCTGTGAACAAGTCTCCTTCGGCGGCTAAAGGGACGGAGGAGGACCCTGCGACGGAAGACGGCTGTCACCCCAGCTGCGGGAGGGCTGGGGGAGGGCGAGGCCGAGGGGGACCCGAGAGGGAGGCGGCTTCGAGCCCCGCCGCGTGCGGCGCCGCTGGGCCTCCGTACGGGCTGGACCCACAGCCGGGTTTCGGCCCCGAGAGACCCCGTGTGGCCCTGACCGGCCGCGGGGTGGCCAACCCGCCGAGCGTGCGCCGCCGTCTCCGCTGCGGCCCCGACCCCCGGCGCCAAGGCGGACGCTCCAGGGGTTCGGCGGCCCGTGACCGCACTTCCAAGGCCAAGGCCGGGGCAGGCAGTTTTCCCGGCCTCGTCCCCGAAGAGAAGGCGCGGCCCGCCCCTCCTCACACCCGCCTTTCCCAGCGGGTTCCGGGAGCGCTGCGCATGCCGGGAAGCCCCACCCCCGCGGCCGGCACGCGCCAGCTCCCCCGCCCGACCGGGAGGTGGCGCTGGCTGGACGCTCTCGGCGGCGGCACCGTGGCGGCACGTGGCAGCGCCGGCCGGCTCGGCTACGCGGACCGACGCGTCCCTCGGGGAGGGACGGGCCCAGCTGCACGGCAAGTGCTCCCGGACGCTAGCCGTGAGCTGCACGCGCCCGTCCCAGCCCCAGCGCACCCGCCAGCAGCGCCCAGCGGTTACTCGGCGTTTCTGCGTTTGGAGACACACGGACAACCA